AAAATTGATACCAATTTTGATACAAAGAAGATCCAACACAAATAATTTTCAAATTAAGATTTTTGTCTTCTTGCCATTGTACTCCTTTTAACATATTAACAAAATTGTACACAGGATACAAAATCTTTGGTGTCTGCTTTAATGCATGACCGTACTTGACTGTGTGTCTTACCACACATATGAAACATATAGTAATGAACATAGTAATTCCCAGAAACAATCCCCAGCAAACAAACAAACATCAATGCTAAACAATTAGTAAGTTTAGGTTTTCCTAAAAAACCAATCGAGCAAATAAAACTCATAAATAAAATAAACCCAAAAAATCAGTGATATTTATAAATAAATAAAAAAAAATCTTAAAACTCAAATGGTTTTCATAGTAATGAACATAGTAATTCCCAGAAACAATCCCCAGCAAACAAACAAACATCAATGCTAAACAATTAGTAAGTTTAGGTTTTCCTAAAAAATCAATCGAGCAAATAAAACTCATAAATAAAATAAACCCAAAAAATCAGTGATATTTATAAATAAATAAAAAAAATCTTAAAACTCAAATGGTTTTCCCTAATTTCATAAATCATAACTTAAATTCACAAATTAAAATTTTAGCTTTTCATTGAAAAAGATAACAAGTAAAAAACTCTAAACAATTTTTTTTTTTTCCATAGTGTAAACAAATATATATATATATATATATAACTGGTTGTAAATAAAAAAAATCAAAATCTTAAAACCCAAATGATTTTTTCTAATTTCATAAATCATAACTTAAATTCACAAATTAGTTCATTGAAAAAGAGAACAAGTAAAAAAACCCTAAACAATTTTTTTTCATGGTGAAAACATATATATATATATATACATTGACAATGCTATGTAGCTCAAATTTTGTGGTTCAAAAGTGGCTCAAATGGCCAAAACGACGTCGTTTTGAGTACAGAACAACATAAAAATGGTCAAAACGACGTCGTTCTGGCCATTTGAGCCACTTTTGAGCCATAAAATTTGAGCTACGAGACATTTTCCTACATATATATATATATATATAACTAGTTGTGCACAAAAAAAAAAAAGTCAAAACTTACAGTTTGTCAGAGATGGAGTGGAGTTTAGTGATTCCAAATTTTGTCGGAGTTAACGGTGCCTTTGATCGACTTTGGATATTCACAGGTTGAGGTTTGATCCGGGAAAAAATGTGAGAGTTCTTTGGATTCTCTCTAGAGCTCTCTATTTTCTCAGACGTAAAATGAAGAGAGAGAGAGAGATAGTAGAATAGGAGTTTATATACTTGGTTTAATGGTAATATTTTGTAATAATAGAAGGCATTTAAGTATTTTGACTTCTTTAGTTTCAACTACCCGCATAATCTGAATCTAAAAAGCACCCCTTCAGATGTTTTTTAAAATTAACTTTTTTCCTCACATTTAAGTTGTAACAAGTTATATGTTGTTACCTTCTAAGTTACACCAAATACACAATTTCAACTTAAATTAACCTAAAATCTGAAATAAGTTGTATTTAAGCTACACCAAACACGCACAATGTATCATACACAGCCTAAAAACACGAAACTCAAAAAAGGATACGAGTGTGGAGGAAATTTCAGTGGGTGCATTAAGGAAATTTCTAGGGCTGTACAAAATACCATGTAATCCGCTAAAACCGGACTGATCAGTATCAATATGCATCGTTTTATCCACTAACCGCTAGTTAAACTTTAAAATCTATAATCCACCTTCAAAATCGCTCCACTCCGCTATAATTAATACACACACACCCATATATATTTTAACCTTTAATGAAATATCAAAATAAAAATAAGCATGAGAGAAATTTAAAATGCTAAATTTATTACAAATTAGTAGTTATATATATGAAAAATATTATATAAAATTAGTTTGTGTTATATATATAATTTTTTTATGCAAATTAATATTATATTATGCAAATACTTGATAATTGATTAAAATATTGGGGGATGCACCAATAAATCCCAAGTTAATAACTTATACACTGTTTAGTCCTAAAAGTTTTCTTATAGACTGAAAGGTCCCATTACAATGTTTCAAACATCAGATTAATGTTTCGAAAATTAGATTTCGAACATCAGATTAATGTTTCGAACATTAGATTTCGAACATCAGATTAATGTTTCAAACATTAGATTGATGTGCAAATGGGACTAAATGGAGCATAAGAAAACTTTTAGGAATAAATGGTTCAACTTTTCAGAAACTAGGACTTATGGGTAAATTTTCCTAAAATATTTTTTAATTTATCAATTCGCTCAAAACCGTCCAAACGGCGATTTGCTAATTCGTCAATTCACTAATCTACTATTTGATTTATAATTTTATTATCAAACCGTTCGAATTGCATTACGCATATTCCTAGTCACACCACCTCTATAATAAAATAAAAAAATTAATTTTTAACCTCCCCTAATGCTTGAGAGCACTAAAAAGGGAATACTAAAAGAGTACTAATGAGTGGCTCTCCCTTTGATGTGATGGTTGTCTCTTGTATTTTTTTTTCTTTTATTTTTTATATTTTCCAACTAATTAGAGTTATTAATGATGAGATTTTTTAGTGATCGCTATCATTGCTGAAATAGGCCCTTGACAGGCCAGGATCAGACGATTAATAGCGACATTGACAGATCTGGACCATAGCCCGGAAACTATTCACATGCGTAGGCGCTGGCATAAGCAATTTTTGTCTGTTTTTTACGCTTCTTTTTGGGTGTCTTTTCATATTGATTATTTGATAGTATTGGATTGATGCTCCTTGATCCACTGTCTTAATGTTGGTTATTAGACAATCTTAATAAAACTCCACATCATTCACATTGTATTACTTAACGAGAAAATTGGTGAAACATTCCTCTCTAATTTTTGATAGTAGAAGAGGTTCAAAATATTTTTTTTTGATTTTTAGTTAAGGTCCCTTAATAATATTATTAGAGAATTTTTTTTAAAAAAAAAATTAATTTGTCACAGAGAAATTTGTTCTCTATGCTGAAATTTCTCTGTAAAAATATTTATGGACCTAAACTATTATAAAAATGTTGCATGTCCTTTATCTAATAAAATTTAAATATTAGGAACCTTAAACTAAAACCACTTACTTAACCTCTTGTTTTTAAAAAATTAATATAGAATTTTATTTGATTTTAAAGTTTCAAAAATAATTTTCAAACTTTTAATATTTTAATTATTTTTTTAATTTTTAATTCATTTAATCTAGATATATTTAAAATATATATAGTTTGTGAAGAAGTCTTTAAAAACTACACTAAATAAAAAATATATAGTATATGTTTAAATTTTTTTTGTATTTATTAATTTTTTTAAAGATTTCTTTATAAATATTTTATTTTTAAAATAAATTTAATTAAATATATATACAAAAATTAATTAAAATACAAAATTAAAAAAATTAAAAAAAATGTTTTTAAAAGAACAAAACCAAAACAGATAGTCTCTTTCATCAAAAAATAAAAAAAAAACATAACAAAATTTAAAAATATATATATATATATATAGATAAAAGGAAGACATAAGAGTTAAACCTTAGATCTTTAATTTAATAAAGAAGCTGCATACTAATTTGGTAACATATAATATATAATAAATATTTTATTTTAATTTTTTTTTATTTAAATTGCTCACGTATCGCATAATAGTAAAATAAAATTACAATAAAAATTGATGATATGTGTAGTACTCAACGAAATAAAATCAACATAAAAAAAAGACGTAGATTTCTAAAATTTTTCAATTTTTTTCATACGCTTCAAAGATTATAGAAATAGTAAAATTAGAACTCTATATAAATCTAAATTCGAATCTTGGGATTTCCTTCCCCTACTACTCCCCCTTCGACTGAACCCCCAAAAAATTAAAAAAAAATCTAAATGTTTTAAATGGTGAAAACAAATTATTCTTTGAAAAATACTTGGCAAGTCGATGGTTATTGAATGCCGCATTAGACTCAAAATGATTCAAGGTACCTATTGAATGCAGTGCATTGGATGTAGACCATTCTGGATTAAGGTTGTCTTCAAACGAAGCTGGCTCTTCATGTATATATTTATATGGGCAAATTACATAAATAATCCTTATAGTTTGGGGTTTGTGACACTTTGATTCTTAACTTTTTAATTGTAACATATTCAGTGGCGTAGCTAGAAATTTGATGGAGAGGGGGCATAAATTAATGATAACATTAGTCTGTTTAGTTTGAGTTTTTTAGATTAAATTTTTTGAGAATTAAGTTTTTTTATTTTCGTATTTTTTTGTTTTTAATGAATATTTTTAAAATTTTAAATATTTTTTTTTTTACTTTTTTGGATGCACTTTACTTAGAAGTATTTAAAAAGTAAAAAATTTGTGAAAAAATATTTTAAAAAATTAATAAATACATAAAAATACAAATAATGTACAGAATTTTCATATATATTTTTTTGTATTTTTGGTATTTAGTGAATTTTTAAAAGGTTTTTTTCACAAATTTTTTACTTTTTAAATATATTTATGTTAGGTATATCAAAAAATTAAAAAAATTACTTAAAATATTAAAAAAATTCATTAGAAACAAAAATACACGAAAAATAAGAAGATAGAATTTTCTGAAAATTATTTTCAGAAAAACGAAACCAAACAACCTGATTAATTTCTTCCATCAGGGGGTGTTCTAGAAAGTTGACTTCGTTTTTTTTTTTTTTTGCACTAGTGGTGATGGAGATAATATTATTTATATCCGTTTAGTGTCATGAATATTACTTTGTATTTTTCTTTAGGGAAAATGAGTGAGAGCACTAATTAGTGCTACCACTAATGATGTGGCAGTAGACCCCACCATAAATGATTTGATGTTTTAATCTTGGTGTTATATTTTTTTTTTTTTATTGAGTGTCATGTCATTAGTGATCTTTTTAGAGCTCTAAAATTAGTGGTCTCTATCATTGTTGTTTTCTTTAGTTGTTATCCATTTGACCTGAATAATGCTTCAGCCGCCCTGAATTCATTTTCATAAATTACATAAAACCACTTTTTAAAACTATTTGGAAATGACTTCCATGAAAGTAGTATAAGTCTCCACCCTTGTGTTTGTTCTTCATTCAATTGCCACAGCAATGCAATTGGATCCAACTTTTTAGTTTCCTACTGATAGAGTTGTCTCAATAGCTAAATCATGACAGGCATTGTTATCAGTCCCGTTTCGTACCAATGACAGAAATGGCACATTGTCCGGGATTGATAACTTCAATGGCAGGTAAGGGTTTGGAATGTGGATGACAAAAGGCTTAGCTGTGGTTGATTTGCTAAAGCACTCAACTCGGCTGTAGACAATACAATATTGCAGGTGACAGAGGAAAATGGGTATCAGAAATAAAAGTAATGCTTGTGATTTTCTGTCATTCTCGTTGCTCTTGTATTTCTTAATATTTCCATCAGTATGTGCAACTGATACCTTGACTCAGTCCCAACAAATCTTAGTAGGACAAAATCTCATTTCTGCAGGCCAAATATTTGAGTTAGGCTTCTTCACTCCCAGCAATTCTAGTAAACAATATATAGGGATATGGTACAAGAACATACCTGACCGCAAAGTTGTGTGGGTGGCGAACAGAGAGAACCCGCTTCAAGCTACAGACTCTGCTTCAAGTCTCACAATTGGCAGCGATGGAAATCTGAGACTATTAGATGGCAAGAGGAACACTGTTTGGTCTACAAATAGCTCTGTCCAATCAAATAGCACAATTGCCGTGCTTTCTGACTTGGGAGATTTTGTTCTCAAAGATAATGTCTCGGGATTTATCTCATGGGAAAGCTTTAAATATCCATGTGACACTTTTTTCTCAGGGATGATGATTGGAATGAACAACAACACAGGAGAGAAACGATTCCTGTCTTCCTGGAAAACAGATGGTGACCCATCACCTGGAAATTTTGTTCTTGGACTTACACCAGATAGACCGCCACAAATTGTCTGTTGGAATGGTTCCAAGACTTTGTGGAGAGGTGGTCCATGGGATGGATGGAAGTTCATAGGTATACCAGACAGCGGACAGGGCTATGTCAATGGACTCAACCTTGTACCGGATAATCAGCAGCAAAGTGTGTATCTCTCATTCAACGTGTATAACACCTCTGCTGTCACAATTATTGTCATGACACCAGCAGGAACAGTGAATACGATGGTGTGGGCTGAAGAAACGAAGAGCTGGCATGTTAATTGGGTGGCACCAGCGAATCCATGTGATGTCTACGGATATTGTGGACCAAACGGGGGTTGCAACAAGAACCGGTCCCCAATTTGTGAGTGCTTAAAAGGGTTTGTACCCAATTCAACTGAGGATTGGAACAAAGGAAATTGGACAGGTGGGTGTGTGAGGCGATTGGAACTCCTATGCCAAAAGAACAGTAGCAGCTTAGCTGCAGCTGGAGCTAAAAATGATGGGTTTTGGAGAATGAGTGGAATGAAGCTGCCTGATCAGTATGATTATTTGTTCAATGAGGTTTCCTCAAGTTGTGAACAACGATGCTTGAGTAACTGTTCTTGTATGGCTTATGCATTTGTGACTGGAATTGGGTGTATAGTTTGGTCTGGAGGCCTCATTGATGTCCAGCAGTTCTCAATTAACGGGAATGACCTTTTTCTCCGCCTTGCAAATTCAGAGCTGGGTAAATTCAATTCTGCCTATAATATATATTGCGAATGAGTGATATTGCCAACCCTTATATATATATATATATATAAGTTTGAGTCTTCATTTTCTCTTTATTTTTCCAGGTGAAGATCGTAAGAAAAAAAGAGAAATAATCATTATCAGTGTAACGACAATTTCTGTGGTTCTCCTCTTGGGTGCTGTCATCTTTGGTTCGTGCAGGTGGAGAGCCAACCAAAGAGGTAAGAATGCTCTACTGCTTGTTTACATTGATTACATTGAACAACCAATCATCGTTACTTCATCTTTTAGTAAATGAACTAGAAATATTCATTTCTCCCTGAAAGCCATACTAAAGATTTCTCTAGGTAAACAATGACTGTCATTCCATCGAAAGTAGTTTGAATTCTACCTTCATCCGGTCCAAACATTAGTCTGAATTCTATTACAAATGACGGATTCAAAAACATTTTCTTCTTCTTTGGTTTCTGCAGATGCTATGAAAATTCCTTAGTTTTTGTGTGGATTAATGCTTAGATCTGCAGAATCATTGTTATATGAACCATAAATTATGAGAAACAGAATCATTGTTCTATGAACCATAAATTATGAGAAATAAGATGATTTTACAAAAAAAAAAAATGGGCTGCCAAACACAGAAAAACTAGTTACAATCCTCTTATTAGTTTTTTTTTTTTTTAAAAAATAAATAGAGTTTTGAAAATAGTTTGATTTTGAGTTTTGAATTGTGGATTGAGTTATGAGTTTTAAAAATAATTTTTGAATTGAGTTGGTTATATTTTTAAATTGTATGTAGATTAGGAATTTTAAAAAAATGTTCAAATTTTTTACTAGAACCACAATTCAAACTGGTTGTTTTTCAAAACAGAAAAAACAAGTTTTAAAAAAAGAAATCATGAAAAACGCTTTGGATGCTTCGGCTTTGTTTTAAGTTTCGCGGTTATGCCCAAATTTCCTCACTCTCTCTCTCTCTCTCTCTCTCTAATTTTCCGTAGTCATCTTCGTCTTGGCGATCATCAATTTTACTCGTACGCTTCAATTCTTCGCTCGATTTTGATTGGTTACTGTCACATCCATTCTGAGGTGATGGAACCTATATCTGTGTTGTCTTCTAGTACCTCGGCGTAAGAACTCTTCGGCCGAGATCATTCATGTCAAGCCGATATGTCTTGTTTTCAAGAACAAGAACTCAAATGAACTTTCCCACGCGCATGAGCTCTCATGCATCACTTCTCAACCGTTTCTCTTACGCGTCTTTACCTTATTGGTCCGTGTTTGTGACGTGCTTATAAACCACGTTTTTCCTGTGTACGCCGCCTGACGTATGCGCTGCTCCAGGCGCATTGATTACCTTTTGCCGCCATTTTTGGTTTTTGACAAAAACTCTTCCTTCTTCTTCATTCTTCTTTCATTTCTTCGCTATTGCATTTGCTGTTTCTCTCTCTAAACTCGTTCTTTCGAATCTGCCATTGCTGAAGCTCCAAGCTCTGTATTTGTCTTCCTGGTGGAACTTTCGTCGTTCTGCCACATCTGTAACTACCGACTGACTTCGGCAGTCCTCACATCGGCTTCATTTTTTCTGGTAAGCAACTGTTCCTTCTGATTTCAATTCTTGACCATTTCTGGAATCTCCTGTTATTACTGCCTTGCTCAAATATCTATTTTGTGAATCATACATCTGAATGTATTTACTCCTTGATTTGGCCCTTGCCTATATCTTGAACACACGCACCGTTGCACCACTTCACTGTATTTTTGCCACTGATCTTGGTCCTTTATTTCTCGTATTCTTCATGTTCTTGATAGCCCATCCCTGTTCTTGTTTTTGAAACTTCGCCCTTGTTTTCTGTTTTTTGTGTCTTTATTTTTTCTTGATTGCTTCTGTATGGTTCTATACTTAGAATATTTGGCATGCCTTTCACACTTTGCCTCCTTTGTGCAATCTTCTCGGGGTTAAAGACCTCGGGTATAGTAACTACAAGCTTTACTTCGGCAAGATACTGACCTGCAAACTTTTCATGAATTTCAACAAGTATATATTATTCAATGCTATCTTTGCAAACATTTCTCAAGTTATAGCAAGTGCTAAACAATGATCTACTTGTAAATTGCTACAAATTTCAACAAGTGTTTAAACAATATACTTAGCTTTTATTTCAACCTGTAAATTGCTGTGAATTTCAACAGATGATCATATGTCGGCTTAACGTCATCTTGTAAATTACTACAAATTTCAACATGTGTTAAGCATCTTCTTTAGGTTTAACCAACCGGTAGATTGCTATAAGGGTTTAAGTAATGACCTCGGCTTCACTTCAACTTGTAAATTGCTACAAATTTCAACAAGTGAAGAGAAACAGTAATATCTTCTTAACTGCAACTTGTAAATTGCTACAAATTTCAACAAGTGAAGATAAGGAAGAATCTCAGCTTAACTTCAACTTGTAAATTGCTACAAATTTCGACAAGTGAAAATAAGGAACCATCTCGGCTTAGCTTCAACTTGTAAATTGCTACAAATTTCAACAAGTGAATTAAGTGTCTCTGTCTTCTCTCTGCCCCCATTGTGAACCTGAGTTCTACTTGGGTTCTCATTATTCATGTCTCCAAAAACACCAATATGTAACTTTATCAATCATATGTGTTTAAAGAAAGGGAAAAAGATTTTATTGATGACATCGGCCAAAAATAATGCACATCTAATGATAGAAGAATTTCAAATTACAAGTGTTCCAAGGTCTTGGCAGTGCTTTGCCCTCGTTATCTTCAAGCCGATAAGCTCCATTGCCTAATACCGAAGTAATTCTGTAGGGTCCTTCCCAATTTGGGCCAAGCTTGCCCTCTCTGGGATCCTTCTTGTTGCCGACGACTTTTCTCAGGACCAGGTCGCTGACTTAAAAATCTCTTGGATTGACCTTTTTGTTGTAAGCTCTGGCAAGCTGTTGCTGGTATACTGCGAGCTGAATTGCAGCTTTCTCTCTTCGTTCTTCCAAAAGATCCAGATCTTGGGCTAAGAGTATGTCATTTGTCTCGTTCTCAACTCCCTGGGTTCGGCTCCCTGGGATGCCGACTTCCAGTGGAATGACTGCTTCTGTGCCATAAGCCATGGCAAAGGGGGATTCCCCTGCTGATCTTCTCGGCGTAGTCCGATATGCCCAAAGCACGTTGGGTAATTCGTCTACCCACTTTCCTTTTGCTGCCTGCAGCCTCTTTTTTATTCCATCAAAAATTACTTTGTTAGATGCTTCTGCTTGCCCATTACTTTGGAGAAAATTTGGTGTTGAAAAGTAATTCTTGATCTTGAATTTCGCACAAAAGTTCTTGATGAGTTTGCTGTCAAACTGTGTTTCGTTGTCGGCGACTATTGCTCTTGGAATCCCAAATCTGGTGATGATGTTTCTCCATGTAAAGTTCTTGACGTCCACATCTCGGATTTTGGCAAGAGGTTCTGCCTCTATCCACTTCGTAAAGTAATCTGTTGCTACCAGCAAGTATTTTCTCTGCCCAGTTGCCAAGGGACAAGATCCATGCCCCATTGGGCAAACGGCCAAGGGCTGGATACTGGGTTTAGGTCAGCAGCTGGCTGATGTATCAAAGGTGCAAACTTTTGGCATTGTTTACACTTCTTCACGTAGGCTTCAGCATCCTTTTGTATGTAGGGCCACCAATACCCCTGGGTAATGGCCTTGTGGGCTAATGATCTGCCCCCAGCATGGCTTCCACAAATTCCTTCATGAATTTCATATAGGAAATCTTCAACCTGCAAAGGGTGTACGCACCTTAAAAGGGGTCCAGTGAAGGACCTTCTGTAGAGGTGTCCATCTGCTGTCAGACTGAATCTTGCTGATTTCAATCTGATTTTGTGTGTCTCCTTACGATCTTCTGGCAGCCTTCCTTCTTTCAGGAATGCAACAACTGCATCCATCCAGCTTGGCCCCATGTCCACACACATTGCTTCCTACTATGTGCTCCGTGGTTCTATGCTTGGGCCCGACATATAGTCGATCATAATTGTTCTTGTTTTTCCAGTCTGCATTGAACTTGCCAGGTTAGCCAACGCGTCGGTGTGGGTGTTGTCATCTCGGCTAACTTGGAGTAGTCGGTAGTTCTGAAATAGGGCTGCCAATCTGATGACCTCTTTTGCGTATGCCGACACCCTTTCGTCTCTGGCTGCAAATTCTCCTGTTGACTAGTTAATAATAAGTTGTGAATCACAAAAAACAATTACCTCATCTGTTTCTGCTGCTACTGCTAGTTTTAGCCCTGCAATTAATGCTTCGTATTCCGCTTCATTGTTTGAGGCCTTGAACCCTAAACGGATGGACTGTTCTATTATTTCTCCATCTGGAGATATCAGCAGTACTCCTGCCCTCGCTCCTTGTCTGTTTGAACTTCCATCAACAAACAGTCTGAATGAGTTGCCGATGTAGATGTTGCAGGGTCTAAGTTTTTCCTTCTTTTGCTCTTTTGCCTTTGGCTGGGATTCTCCTTGCTTGCTGGGACAATGCTCATCCTGGCTCAACGGAGCCCGATGTTCGATGGTTTCAGGCGTGAATTCTGCCACGAAGTCGGCCAAAACTTGGCCCTTTATTGCGGTTCTAGGCCTGAACTCCAAGTCATACTGGCCCAAGGCAACTGCCCATCTTGCTATTCTTCCTGTTAAGTCTCCTTGTTGCAACAAGGGCTTCAGTGGGTGCTCTGTTAGGACCACAATCTTGTGCGCCTGAAAGTAATGATTCAACTTCTTTGAAGTCATTACTAAGGCTAGCATTAATTTCTCCAGTGGTAGATACCTTGTTTCTTCGTTGGCCAAGGTTTTGCTTACATAGTAAATAGCCTTTTGCTCTCCTTTTTCTTCTCGGATTAGTACTGCACTGACTGCGTGTTCTGAAACTGCCAAGTACAAAAACAGTTCTTCCCCTGGTTCTGGATTGGAAAGAACCAGAGTTGTGGTCAAGTACTTTTTCAGGTCGGTCAAAGTGGCTTCGCATTCTTCTGTCCACAAAAAGTTTGTGGCTTTTTTCACCAGGTTGAAGAAGGGTCTGCACTTATCTGAGCTTCTGCTGATGAATCTGTTTAGGGATGCGGCCCTTCTAGTAAGCATCTGAACCTGTTTTGCCGACGTCGGGCTCTTCAGCTCTAGGATGGCCTTGATTTGGTCTGGGCTGACCTCAATTCCCTTTCTTGTTACTAGACACCCTAAAAACTTACCTGATTCAACTCCAAACGCGCACTTTGATGCGTTGAATCGGAGCCGGTATGTTTTGAGTATGTCAAAGACCTCTTTTAGGTCGGCAAGATGACCCTTAGATTCCTTGGTCTTCACGACCATGTCATTGATGTAGACTTCTACCATTTTGCCAATCAGGTGCTTGAACATCTTTGTTATTAACCTTTGGTAAGTTGTTCCCGCGTTTTTCAACCCAAAAGACATTACCTTGTAACAGTACAGGCCTTTAGGAGTGATGAACGCGGTCTTCTCCTCGTCTGGAGGGTACATGGCAATCTGGTGGTACCCCCTGTATGCATCCAGAAAACTCATCCTTTCATGCCCTGAAGTAGCATCTACTAGCTGGTCAATCTTGGGCAGAGGAAAGCTGTCTTTGGGGCAGGTTTTGTTGAGGCTTGTAAAGTCTACACAGACCCTCCATTTGCCGTTCTTCTTCTTTACCATTACTGTGTTGGACAGCCATGTCGGGTAGTGAACTTCTCGGATGGCCCTGGCCTCCAAAAGTCTGTTTACTTCTTCTTCTACTGCTTCGACGTGCATCAACCTCGGTTTTCTAGCTCGTTGAATCATAAGCTTTGCCGACCTATTGACATTCAGTCTGTGGCAAGTGACCTCGGGGTCAATGCGGTTTTGCCGATCTGTCGACATTCAGTCTGTGGCAAGTGACCTCGGGGTCAATGCCTGACATTTCATAAGGTGCCCAGGCGAAAGCCTCTATGTTTGCCCTTAAAAAATCTTCCAGTTCTTTCTTTTCTTCTCTAACTAAGCCTGAGCCGAGAAGAAAGAAACGCTCTTCGTCGTCCTCCTGGACGAAGATTTTTTTTAGCGCCTCTTCGCTTTTTTCGGCTGGTTCTTTCCCGACGTCTTCTAGGACCTCCATGTCCTCATCTTCAACTTCTGCGTTCCTTGGCTCTCGTATACTACAGGTGGACTTCATTACTGTCATGGAGCAGTTTTTTTCTTGCAGTTGATCCCCTCTGACTTCTTCAATCCCATGCTCTGTTGGGAACCGCAGTAGTTGATGCAACGTTGAGGGAACTGCCCCCATTGCATACAACCACGGCCTTCCCAAGATGATGTTGTATGGTGAGGGCATGTCAATTACCAGGAATTCCGTCCTGATCCTCTTAGTGCCGGCTTGTACTTCTAAGCTTGTTGCACCCAGTGGCCATGTCGGTGTTCCATTAAAGCCGACCATCGGGCCGCTTGATTGTTCTAGGTCATCGGGGTGAAGGCCTAGCTCTTTGTAACATCTGACATACATGATGTCACAGGAGCTGCCTTGATCTATTAGGATGCGTTTTACTTGGCACTCCCCGACCTGTAGGGATACTACCAAGGCATCATTATGCGGATGTTGGACCAGTTCTAAGTCGGCTTCAGTAAAGGCTATCATTGGCCCTTGGCATTCTTCTGGCCGATGTCTCTTTTCCCCAACTTGGTAGATATGCTGTAAATATCTTACCCTCTGGGTTTCTCCTCTGACTTCGTTTCCGTTGACCCTTGAGTGGATCACATTAACCACCATCGGTTCTCCTGCCTGTGGTAGCTGTGCTGGGGGAGGGGGTGCTGCGGGTGCTTGAGGCAACCTTGCCTGTTCTTCCCTTGTTCTGGCCTCATCGACCAGGTCCCTCAGGAGGCCTTGCTTTACTAGGTCCTCCAAGTGTGCTTTTAAGGCCCTGCAACCTTGAGTTGGATGCCCTCCTTCATTGTGGTAGGCACAACGTCTACCAACGTTCCTTCCCATGAATTCCCCCGGTGCTCTTGCCGAAGCCCTGAAATAAGGTTGATTTCGAATCCGATCTAAGATTTTATGGATTGGGATCCGGAATACTGTGGTTACCGCCTGTTTATTTCTTAATTCTATTTCTTGTTTGGTCGGCCCATTGTTGACTCGGCCTCGCTTTGGTGAGCCGTTTCCCTTTTCTTGTTTCACCTCTTTGTTTCCCGATGTATCTTCTTCGGCCCTGGCGTATTTCTCAATTCTTGCCATGAGTTCTTCCATGCTTTTTGGCAATGTTTTTGCCAAAGACTTCCGTAGTGGGCAGTCATCTTTCAGGCCGTTCTTGAAGGATACGACTGCTACTTCCTGGTTGCATTCGGGTATTCGGTTGAACACCTCGTAGTACCTCTTCGCATAGGCCCTGAGGCCTTCTTCTTTGGTGATTCGTAGAGCCATCAAAGCATCAACCCTCAGGGGTTGCAGCTTGTTGGTCACGAATCTGGCCACAAACATCTCGGCCAAGCCTTCCTATGTCTTTATACTTCCTTTTGGTAACTTGTGGAACCAATCAGATGCAATTTCCCCAAAGGACGAGGGGAATACTTTGCAGAGCAACGGCTTGTTTCCGCTATATAGCGCCATTGAATTTAGGTACAGCCCAACATGAAAGTTTGGATCCGATTTACTGTCATAGATTTGGAACCTCGGCATACTGAATCTTTTGGGTGGTTCGAATTTGTCCAGTTCCGCCGAGAAGGCTGTCTTCGGTTTCACTGGGGAGTTTACCTCGGCTTCTGCATTCTGCTGCCTCCTCTTGAGGTAGTTCCTTAAGTCTTTTTTGCTCCTCCCTGGAGCTCGGCTGTCTTTGGATTTTAGTCTTTTTGGTACACTGCTTTCGGCCTCGTGGTGGGGTCGTTTGGATCTTTCTTCGTGGGATGTATCAAAATGGAGTACTTGCCCCTGAACATGTCGATGTTCTTTGGGGTCTGGATTCTTCATGTGGTGTGCCCGTCGGGACTCCTCTTGCCTTGGCTTTTCCCGTCCGACTTCCCTGGAAGGTCGGTGTGAATGCCTTCCGCTTCTGGTATGCTGAGGGACCTCGGGGATTGTTTTTCTTCTTCCTCGACTGCTTCGACGTGCATTAACGTCGGCCTTCTGGCTCGTTGAATCACAGGTTTTGCCGATCTGTCGACATTCAGACTGTGGCAAGTGACCTCGGGGTCAATGCCAGGCATTTCATAAGGTGTCCAGGCGAACGCCTCTATGTTTGCCCTTAAAAAATCTTCCAGTTCTTTTTCTTCTTCTCTAGCTAAGCCTGAGCCGAGAAGAAAAAACCGTTCTTCGTCGCCCTCCTGGACGAGGATTTTCTTTAGCGCCTCTTCGCTTTTCTCGGCTGGTTCTTTCCCAACATCTTCCAGGACTTCCATGTCCTCATCTTCAACTTCTGCTTTCTTTGGTTCCTGTACACTACAGGTGGATTTTATTGCTGCCATGGAGCAATTTTTAGCTTGTAGTTGATCCCCTCTGACTTCTTCAACGTTAGTGGCCATCTATTCTTCCTTCGTTCCCACAGACGGCGCCAAATTGTGTGGGTAAAAATCTGACCACACTGCCCGTTTAGTGATCAACAGATAAGCACCGGCAGAATAGATGGCACCAACAACCTGTAACAGAAAGGAAAAGCTCCGGCGGTGGTTCTTCCACCCGGGGGCACTCCGACGATCAAGTCAGTATGTTTCTCAAGGATAATAAAGTATTAAACTGAATACTCAAAGTATGAATTACATACCTTAGACCCACGGGGGTGCCTCTCTTTTATAATATACTTAATCCAAGTCCAACTAGAAATATGACTTCTGTGTACCCCAATCTTAGTACTTACTCTGGACTCTTTAGGAGATAGAGATAAACTCCCTAAGAGGTTTATCCTTATCTTAATTAAGTCCCCTCTTCGCTTCAGGACTCTTGTCCCTTATCTTCGGATTCCGACATCTTCGGAGATGACCTCGGCTTATTCGAGATTACCTCGGCTTAACTACCAGGGCACGTGGCACCTCGGCTGACACGTCGGCGTCACCATGCCACGTGTTGGTATTCAGAAAATATGTCCCCACAAATATATTTTTGTATAGTGATAAAACTAATTTTAAACATTCATGTAAACAATTCTTAGATTGTAAATAATGATAATATTTTTAATATCCCATGATTTCAAACATAACTAGTTCGGTTCTGATTGATACCAACATTTTTATGTATTGATTTGGCTCCAAATTGCCGTAAGTAATGGATGGATATTGATTTACAGCTAAATCAAACCAAACTGAAGTATACTCATCCCTAATTGATCCTAATATTCACACCACAAAAGATATTGCACAAAAATATGAGATAAAAAAATTAAAGTGTTTGATAATGAATTTTTTATTTTTAAAAAAGGTGTGAAAAAAAGATTAAGTCCTCATTTGGTAAATATTTTGGGACTAAAAAATTAAAAAAAAGATAAAATAGGCTATATAAGTCAATAAGACAAAATGTTATATTTAAATTATAATCATTATATTTTTTTCTTACAAAAATAAAAAAAATCTAAAAATAAAAGCTGAGCAAGGCTAAAAAAAAATTTATTATAAAAAACTTAATTACCATAATCAATGCCAAACGAAACTTAAATAGAAAAGAATTTTTTTAAAGACTTTTTGATTAAAATTTAATCACTTTTCAAACGTAGCCTATAATTATTGTTCGTTTTAATATTTTATTAAAACGTGAATAGAGCATTTTTAGTGTGTAAATAGCAACTACTAGATTTTTCCCCCACTTGGATTCCCAACCGAATTCCCAAGTTTCATCTACATACTTTTTTTGCCTAGAAAAATTGGCAAAAATTTTCCTGATGAAATGGGAAATGGAGATGGAAGAGATCGAAGCAGTTCTGGAGAAAATCTGGGACTTACATGACAAGCTCAGCGACGCCATCCACTCTATTTCTCGAGCTCACTACCTCCATTCCATCAAATCCCAATCCCTCGGCAAATCCGACGACGTTTTGCTCCCCCGCAAGAACAAAACCTACTACTCCTTCCACAACCCCAACAACAACAACGATTCGATCGGTGATGGCAATCATCGGACCGGCTTCGTGTTCGTGAAGGACTTCCCCGTTGGCGATGACGACGATTACTCGGCGATTCATGAGGCCAAGAGTCTCGACGCCATTCGAACCGCCCTCGAGAACCTCGAGGACCAGCTCGAATTCTTCCACGTGAGTTTATTTTTTATTTATGTGTTTGGCTGCTGAGAAAGGAGAAGAAAATGTGATGGAGTGAACATTGGAGTTCTAATTATTTTTTTGAATTGCTTTGTGTGTGTGTGCAAATTGCTGCTTCATTTAACTTTGTTTGGAATTTATTTGACATAGTTGGAAATTTTGTGGAAATCTTTGTCTTCATCTCTAACCCTTCTCTACTCTTGTTTTTCATCTAATTTGAGTAAAAAAACTTATTTAATATGAGATGCTCTAACCCTTTCATCAAAATCTTTTTAAAAATTCCCCTCTTATCCCAAATTTCTGTTTTCATCAAATTTGATGGGGAAAATATAAACTCCAATGCGTTATCTCTTTAAATTTTTATCAAATTTAAAATTGATGGGAAAAAGATTGTTTCTACCTTGATTTAATAAACATTCGATGAAAGGATTAGAGATGGTTTTTGAGAATTTTTTTGTCATATTTAAATTTGATGAAAGAAAAGGTGAAGGATTGGAGATGCTTGAGAATGGTTTTTTTATTTTTATTTTGTGAGGGCCTTTTGTTGGTTTGATTAATAGTTTGTCAACATGACAGCAATATGTACCAAATGAAGCTGAGCACCTAGTGAAAAAGCTATCAAATAAGGTTAACAAAAATCAAGAGGGTTAGCTAGCAATTATCTTTCTTAGGCATTGTAATAATAATTTAGCAACCAGGCATGGCGAAGAAATCATTGGAAGAATATGAAGAGTTTGAAAATGTTTTAGAGAATGGAAAATTAGCTCAGCTTTTCCTTTTCCTGTGTCTTATATGCTGGGGAACGAGAGGTGTAAGGCTTTTCATAGAAAGTTTCCTGAGCTTAATAAAACAAAAATTACCATCTGAAAGTACTAGCTTGACATTAATGGGAGATAAGTTGGGGTGTGTTTAGGCTGTGGATATGAAGGTGGAATTTGTGTTGCGTATTAAAATCATAGGCCCTTATTTCTTGGTGTATTAGTAAAAGCTTGGACAGTTTAACGTGAGAATGCAGTTTCGAGTTTGAGAGTAGCCACTTTGTGCATATTGCATATTATGCTTAGGATTACGTTTATGTCTAGTTTACCCCGCCCAACACCCGAGCTCGGGACTAGCACTAAGGAATAGAATAAATCTCATGCCCTTAATGCATTCATCAATTGAGGATTGAGGGAATGCATGATATTAGGGGTGTGCATGATCAATTTGATTCGTATTAGGGCCAAATCTAGAATTGAATTGACCTTAGTTTGTAACCAAACCAACCCAATCCAAGCAAATTAAGGTTTGCAGGTCTAATTGTAAACATAAGGCTAGACATATTTATTAACAAATTATTATTATTATTATTGAAGACCTATTATTTGTGATGATTATATGTTGGATTGTCTGCATAAGATCTAATCATAACCAATGACCTTTAGTCTCTGGGCATGTTAATTATAATTTATATCGTGCAATTTATAAGATTTTATAAAATGATATGTATAAGGGGTTGGGTTGGGTTGGTTTGGTATGGGAGGGGTAAACAATTTATTTTAGCTGTATTAATTATTGGGTTGGTTTGGGTTGCCAAATCACTAAATTGAGAAATAGACCAACTTGGTTAGGTATGGGAGTTTTAGATGTAGAATTAAATTGATCCTCTACTAGATAGAACTAAATCAACTCCACCTATGAAGACCATATTGGTTTGGTTTGGGGGTTATAGATTTCTTCGGTGCACCCCTACATGATATAGGTAAAAATTAAAATTAACACGAGCAATAGAGCTGGGTGAATCAAAAGGTGGTAATATTTTACTGAATCAAAATTTTGTAGAATAAATAACAATAATTTACATATCAAAAGTAATTTACTTGACTTTTCTTTAGATACGATTATTAGTCATGTTTTTCATGTTGATGAATTATTTCTATCCCAAGGCTATCCCAAGGCACCTTTGGGCCTCCCACTTTGATAACAAGTTTACCTATGAGGTGGCGTTCCTTCTACTTTTGTTCTAGCAGTTATTCCTATCTTCAACAACTTTTACTGCAACATGGGGATTAGATTAAGGATGATGTTGCAACTTAGGATGTTGTTTTTTTTTCGCATTGTGAATTTCGGAGATATTTTGTGCGTTGGAAAAATCACTAGACATCAATCCTACTTGGATTATTGAGGACAACTTTCATTGATTTGATCATTGACTTTAGTCTAAAGGAGAGTTCCTCCCCGCTAGTGACTAAGAAGTACGGACACGGATGCAGACATGGGACACGGAGATTTAAAAAAAGTAGCGACATGGACACGGCAGGGACATGACAATAAAATATGTTTTCATATATTTTTATTTGCTATCTAGATTAATGTTACATCCGCAAACAATCAATATTAACAAAAACTAATGTGTGTGTTTGGTTTGAGTTTTTTGGATTTAGTTTTTTGAGAACTGAGGTTTTTGTTTTTCATGTTTTTTTGTTTTTAGTGAATATTTTTTAAATTTTAAGCATTTTTTTAAAATATTTTTTTAGATGCACTTTACTTAGATGTATCTAAAAAGTAAAAAATTTGTGAAAAATATTTTAAAAAATTAATAAATATATAAAAATATGAAAAATATACTAAATTCTTGTATTTTTTTGTATTTTCAGTATTTAGTGAATTTTTAAAAGATTTTTTTTACAAAAATTATACTTTTTATGTGTATTTATGTTAGGCTTGTCTAAAAATTAAGAAAAATTGCTTAAAATATTAAAAAAAATTAGTAAAAACAAAAAAACACGGAAAACAAGAAAGTAAAATTTTCTAAAAAGTGATTTTGGAAAACCAAAAACAAGCAAAGTGAATTCCATTTTTTTTATTTAATTTTTTTTTAAATTAACACTTACAATTTATATCTTTTTTTTATGAATGATTTATTAAGTATTTAAATTTAAGAAAAATAATAAACATTTAATATTCATCGAAAGTACTAAAGAAAATGAGAAAAAACACAACTTGGCATATCCCTAGTGTTTTCCTGGAGTGCCCCTTGAAAATAAATTAATTAAATAAGGGAACACGCCACATGCATGTTCCCGCTATGCATGTTCAATACGGATATGACACTTGTTTTGAAGTGTCAGTGCTTCATAGGCTGGTGATAATTGATGGAAATTGTGAAGAGTGGTGGAACTTTATTAAGGCCAAGGGCATTTGGCCACCCCTGACTTTCAAATTTTTCCCTTAAATGCTGGGTATTATATTTATATGTTGATTGCCTATGAGTTCCATCCAATGGCCCCCCACATTTTTACATTTTTATTTACACAAACATTTTTATATAAAACACAAAAGTCCAAACCAATATTTTATATATCATTGTTATAAACACGTTTTATATGCTATACGATTTCTATGTAACACTCAAGACTCACCCAGTGTTTTTGTATGCCATTTTTATATACACACACATTTTTATATAATTGACAATTTTATATACAATCTTGCTACAACTGCACCTAGGGCACAAAAAAAACAGACAAAAAAGGGGAAGAATACAATATATTTTTCACCAATTTAAAAACATTTTTTTTTTACTATTTTCAGAATTGTCTTTAACCTTCACACCTATTTTCAAAGAGCTTTTCATTCCATGCTCGATACTAAACAATGCTCTAGGGTACTTGTTAGCGTTTCCTTTTTATATAACACTCAAAGAGTCCCACCCAACATTTTTCATTTGTGGTCATCGAACGTTTGGAATCAGATCAATCTTTGGGGGTTTGACTAGATGTTTCGGTTTGACAAGGAGAAGAGGGGGTGGAGGGGACGTTATCTTGTTCCCTCCTAAAATAAATTCTTGGTTCTTTTCTTGTCGTGAAGAAGGAAACAATTGAGAGTTTAGTTTATTTAGGAGTTTATTGGCAAAATTCCCCAACCTGATGTATTTGTTCCAACCCAATTTTAATATAAATGGTTTGAGAGATCATTGATTGGGCCTAGTATAGTAGTAGGTAGGTCAAAACTATCAAGTTTATAGTAAAGTATGAAATTGTATCACTAAAATAATTGAGTTTAAAAGCAAGAATTCACGCGTGAAACCCGAAAACCTGATCCGTTGCCATCCCTAAGTTTAATTAGGATTTTATTATGAGTTTTCTTAATTTAGGATTTATTTCTTAATTTTATTTATTTCCTTTTTTGGCACAAGCCTATATATATATAAGGGTTGATTGAACTACTGGAGTTATTGGCAAAATACTGAGAAGCAGAATTTTCTTTATCTTATCCATGGAAGCCTTCTCATCTTCTGCCTCTCTCTCTCTCTCTCTCTCGGCTTTTGCTTTGTTTTGTGAGTGTTGGGGATTGTGGGGGACATTGCCATCATTTTTAACTGGGTTGGAATAGGGAAACAGTGCTCATGGCCTTTTGCGTGATAAACATCTGCCTAGTGCAGGAAAGTATTGAGTTTGATTTTAAAGGCCAGTGATGCTTAATGGTGAGGGACAAGATATGAAGGAAATGAACTTGAGTAGTGACATTCTTGCAATGGTTCTGTAGCAATATTGAAAAAGGAATTACTTAAACAAATGTTTATGATAAATCTGACATAGTAGCATGTAAGGACAAGAGGATTTCAGGGTAAGAGACGATATCGTCATGGCCCTCATGGGCATCATTTGCACTGTAGAAAGTGATTGCATAGAAATGCAGCATTGGATGGTTTGACCTGAAACACAAGGGGAAAGTGATATTGAATTAATGGATAATCATGTAACAAAAGAAGTGGTGCTGGATTGTTTTTGATTGGATGAACATGTTGCGTACTGATTGCAAATATTCTTGTAGGGCTTTGTTCAATATAGTTGGTTCCACTGAGATCATGTAGATTTTGATGCCATTAAGGACCCAACCTTTCTCCTCCTTATTTAATCCGTGTCTTTACACACCAATAAAAAAAGTTCTGCAGCATCATGGTTGTAGTGTTCTTATGTATATTTGTATTCATACATAGTTTTTATGTGAGAATGTGAATTTAAGATTAGACAGTTCTCATGTGGAGTCCTAAAAGCTGTGACATTCAGTTCTTTACTTTCGTCTTCTATGTGTTGTAAATATCTTCATTTTGATATTGTGTTCTGCAGACTGTTCAAATGCAGCAGAGGGCAGAAAGAGATGCTGCAATTGCACGCTTAGAACAAAGCCGGATTGTTCTTGCAATGAGATTGTCTGAGCACCAAGGTAAGAAGTACGAAGTCATTGAAGAAGCTTTAGCTTTTGTTGGGGATGTATGCGATGCAAGTCGTTTTGTTTCACCTGATAATCTTTATGGTTCCAGTCCACAGCCATCTGGTGAGAACTTGGTAACCCATGAAGGGAAGAGATCAAGTAATCTCATCAAAGTTCTCGTATCGGGTTTCAATTTTGCTAAAAATTCCCTTAAATTGGATCAAATGGGTGGGATATTGGGCAATGCTGCTCTGGTTGCAATCAGCATGATTGCGTTGCTGCATTTGCAGCGAGAACCTTGTAAGGACAGGTATGCCTTAGAACTCCCACTGAAAAAAGTACCTTCTCGGCTAGAGGGTTCTTCTTCAAGTGGTCGTTTGACACATTTGGATGTGTCATTGGCTAGGGGCTAAGTTTTGAAGAAGGGATTCATTTGCAATCTATCGAGTATGAGTTACTCTTATCGTCTTGAGTGATGATTGTATGACTAAACAACTTCACTGTCTTGAGGTTTTATTCCAGAAAATTTGGACGTGTTAGTCAGTCCCTGCTGCTTTTTGTTATTTTTCGGTTCTTGGTTATAGAGAGAGAGAGAGAGAAATCGTAGTATGCTGCCTGTTCTGTTCTGAATTTACAATTACAGATTCTTTGGAGCATTTTTAATTTTTTTGATTTTATTTTTTTTATTTATCAAATTAGATAAACCCAATATCCATACCCAACCCTAGGGCGAAACTGTATGGGAAACCACTGGATTGTGAGATCTGTTTCTGTGCTTCTTCAGCTGTGTCAAACCTGGGAGTGCTTTCTCAGCTGTTATTCTTTTTATCCATTTATGTTTCACTTATTTTGAAAGACAATAGTAACTCAATTTTCAGTGATGATGATCAAACTTTTTAGATTTCATGATTATCTAAGTTAAGCTACTTGATTGATGCTTTCAATTTTGCTGCATTGAATCCAAATTATTAACATTGTACATTGTTTAAGCTTGACTTACTGTATATATATCATTGTTTTGAAAAAATTGTTGTATGCTCTTGAGAATATACCCTATGGCCACCTTTGATTGTTTGATTGTCCACTTATTTTTTATGTGATTAGATACAATTGGATTAGCTGAGAAGAATAATTGAATATATGATGGGATTACAAAGTATAAGTTGTTACTTATACCATGCGATTAATAGATGAGATAAATGATTGGATTGAGAAAGTGAGTATTATATTTGGTTATCGTGAGACAAAAAGTTATAATTTTTCTGATAAATAACACTTACCTTTTTTAAGGTTTAGATATAATATAAGTAGCTCATTTTGACCTATTTACATTGACTTTCCTTTTATTAAAGTTAAAGTAACTTAAATTAATGCATATAGTGGGTAGATATTGAAATAAACAAAGATAATTATATATTTTAATTGAAAAAAAAAGATGATAATATCATTTTTTTTTTCATTCACTTCTAGCGAATTATTGATGAAAAATGATCCAATTATTATGTGAATTGAAATATCAAGAGAAATTAATGTAATTTTGTCAAAAAATATAAAGTTAATTATATATTTTCAAACCTCAAAGAAAGCGAGTGTATTTTATCTTATTATTTTTCCATGTTCAACATAGTGTCATGAGTTCCGTCTCTCTTCATCATTCACAAAACTCTTAGAGCATCACTTAAATTAAAGGTTTCTCTTCTTCATTCACAAAGCCTCTGTTTGGCAAGATGGTTTTCAGGCTTTTTTGGCTATTTTAGCCACAAAAAACAAAATAGGCTATTTTAGCCATAACAAACAAAACATCACATCCAACCTATAATCATTACATTCTTCTCTCACAAAAAAAGTCAAAAAAGTCAAAAAGTCAAAAAGTTCTTCTCAAACCAAGCTTTTTAGCCCAGGCTAAAGTAGCCAAAAAAAGTCAAAAAGTCAAAAAGTCAACCTACTTTCCAAACCAAGCCAAAACTCTTAAGACATCACTTGATCATATCTTGAGAGTATGTTTAGATAATGAATTTGGATCGGGATTCAAAAATTTAATTAGAAAAAATGAGTAAAATATAATTATATTTTATTTAAAATTTACTAATTTTTTTATTTAAATTATTTTATAAATTCATAATTCATACACCGACTGAGGCCACCAAAAAACTTCTATGAGACGCTGACCCCAGAGAGCACCAAGTTTTAGCACAAAGTGAATGATGAGAATGGCTGTTAGTGTGAATGATGACCAAGTGGTTCATTCCTTTCTATAACCAATGTAGAAATGGAAAGTCAAACCCCTCCAAAAAAAATTGTCAACAATTCGGGTAGGGCCTAAATGGAATGTTGTAGTTTTTGTTTTTGTTTTTGTTTTCTGCTTTTTAAAAAGAACAATATATATAGTTATTATGGTCTGTTTTGACTATGCTTTATAATTAGGAGTGGATAAAGGAGTTTCTAGTGGAAACATTTTTTTTTTTTTTTTTGTTATGTAAGGTATTCTGGATTAATTTACACACTCTAGATTAAGTTCCTATAATTTGAACAAGTTTTCTGAAACAGGATTTATGCCCTGCAGTCATTTTTTTTGTTACAGGGAAATCCTCTCACTCTCCCGCAGGTCCAAGGCAGCGCCCCGAGGAGATCACCAGGGTGTCCTGTTGTCCGTTCCGAGTAAGAGACTATAACCTGGAAGCTTGTCCCGACCTCCCAAGGCAAGTTCCGTTTAAGTCAAGACTCGCACAGCGGGGTAGAATTAAACCCACACCAAGTAGCTGATAAGGCATCCTTGAGGTCAACCTCCTAACCAACTGTGCTACGCTCAGGAGATTGGCCCAGAGGAGAGTTGAACCCAGGACCTAGGGGCTTAAACCCCAGGGCCTGCAGTCATGACCCTAAGATATACATTTGTTAGCTAAAGAATTCGAACTTAGGAGGGAACAAACCTCCAGACCCCGTTATTACCTACTAAGTCAATCACCTTGCGATTAAAGTGGAAACATGTTGAGCCCTACACACAGCCCCTTAAATCATTATTTATGATGAATCTGGAGCAGTGTAAAACACTTTCTTTGAGTTGCTATTGGATCCAATGACCAACAGAAAATCACATTTTAGAGATTTGAGAAAAACACAAATGAGAATTCCCACTTTCTAAAGATTGTGAGAAGACAAAAGAACAAAACACACTTCTCTTCCTGTCTCCTTTTTCTTTTTCGCTTTTTGTATAATAATAACAATAATAATCTTTTTGGCAAATCAATAATTATTATTATAGACATTGCAAATCTCATGTTCGATTTTTAACGATGTTTGATAGATTGATTGATTTGTTTTGTGTTTGTGTTGGTGCATGTCAGCCTATTACGGCGTACACTCGGTCAACTCTTTGAAAACATCTTCCCATTTTCACGCAATTCCTCTTGGTGGCGATTTGCAAGTCAAATTATCCTTGCTTTTTGCATGTTTAATGAAAAAAAAGAGAGGATAAATTATAAATATATATTTTTAAATTTATTTAAAATATGAATTATTTTATGTAATTTTAAAAAATAGATCTGTTCCTTGAAACTTTTAATTTCATAACAAATATTTTAGGCCTTGTTTGGCAAAACCTATATAATTTATCTTTTTATCTTTTTATTTTTTTTTCATCACATCACCTCTCTACTTTTCTGTACATCTTTTCGTAAAAAGATAAAAAGTGTACTTTTTTAGGACACTCCAAACCAACCCTCATTTTATTAATAAATCAAGTCAATTAACAGTTTTTAATGATTTTATAAATCAAGTCAATAAACAGTTTTTAATGATTTTATAAATTTATTTTAATTAATAAGTTAGGCAATTTTAATTAATGAGTATTGTTGAGATGAAAATGTTAGGCCAAGTTTGGCATGTCACAAAAAAGTCAAAAAGTTAAAAACTTATTCAAAAAGTTAAAAAGTTATCACTATTCATTAAAAAAAAATTAAAAAATTAATTTTTATCACTATTCACCAACACATCAATCTGACGAAATTAGATCAGTGCTACAGTTCTGTGACAAAAAAGTTGCACAGTTAGGTGTAATTTTACCACACTGTTGTTCAGCTCGTGGGGACCCATCACGGATCCCGTTTTTATAACCTAAACCGTTGAATGTGTAGAAATAATCGAATACTATATCTCTAAAAAATCACATTGATCGGATATCGATAATTACATGATCAAATCAGTTTTGTATAAAAAATAAAGATGTTATAATTAACGGTTGGAAAAAAACAAATCTGGTCAGATAGCTATCAATATCCGATTAACGTAACTTTTTACAGGCATATAGTACTCGACGAGTTCTACACATTGAACAATTCAGATTATCAAAACGGGACCCATGATGACCCCCATGAGCCAAATAGCACCGTCCAGTGCAATGCCCAAAAAGTAAGCAATTACTTCACCCCATCTATTCCACTTTCCAGATTTGTCAGCCGTACAAGTCACCCTTTAATCTTCTCCTACACTCTAACTACACACTAATTTATATAATATTTTGATACATATTTTTTTTTTATATAAAAAGTCAAAAAGGTAACTCAAACATTTAATTTTTTTTCCTCAAATTTTTAGTTCAAAAAGTCAAAAAATACACTTATTTAGGATATCCCAAACAACCCCTTAATATGAAAGACTAAAAAAGATAGAGTTATGAATTAGTATATTCGAGAATTGGTAAGAATAGTATTGACATAAGATAAGTTGAGAGATAATTGATTGAGATGATTTGGTCATATGCAACGGAGACAAACAAAGGCAGTAGTGAAGAGATATGATACAGTGACAGTAGATGGAAGTATTAGGAGAAGGGACATACTTGAATTGACGTAGGTTAATACAGTAAATATATATATGAACCTCCTTAATTTGGCTAACGAAATGGTTTTAGATAGAGTCGAATGGAAAAGATAGATTCATATAGCCAACCCCATTTAATGGGACTTAAGATTTGGTTTAGATTGGTAATAAGTTAGGTAATTTTATTTTTGTATAGAAGAGCAGTTAGAAATTGTAATTTTTCAATTAATTCTAATGAAGAGGTATTTGTAATTTTTCAAACCATACAAGATAATTTTTACTTTAAATAAATTTTAGGAAATGTATTTGTAATTTATACAAAAAAAAAAAAGAATATTGAAAACTTTGGAAATATTATGTCATATGGTCAATCAACAAAAAATCATAACACACGGCAAATTAATTAAATGGAACATACATAAGCAAAATATTAAGAATTACACTTCTCTCATATTCACATCTCAATATGTGAAATTTGAGAGGCTCATTGGACTGAACATGGGTCCTGAATAATTTAAATCATTTATTTTGTAAGGCTCTCAATATATGTCATCTATGAAAAAAAATCTAATAATTATAATATTTTTATTTTATCACATTTGTCTCCGAAAAATGAATGATAAACATTTTTCAAAATAAACCATCTATTTTTTTAGAAACAAATACAATAAAGTGAAAAGGTTGCTATTATCAAATCACCTTAATTTTTTGTATGAATCATATATATTGAGGGTCTTATAAAATG